GATCAGGGCTCCCAGAAGGCTGTGCCGTGTGGCTTGTGGGATCTTAGTTCCCTGACCAGGGATTGAACCCGGGCCCCCAGCAGTGAAAGCGCCGAGTCCTAACTACTGGACTGCCAGGGGATTCCTTCCTAGCACCTTCTTTGACTCTGAGTCCCTAGAGCCTGCCTGTGGCCTGACACGAAGAGGGTGTCGAATATTTTGTTGGATCAGAATGTTCAAGAGGACTTCATTCTGTCATGTTTATTGTTCTTCCAGAGTTCACTTATTTGTCGTTTGCTATAAAATAGATTTCCAGTGATTATTTCTGTGCTGGCTAATCTCTGGAGAAAAAAGAAAAGAAAAGAAAACAAAACCCTTTGAATGGATACTTACCTGGGTTTGGCTGGAATTCTGGGGGGCTGGAATGAGAGCCAGAAATTTCTCATTTCTCCAGGAACCTGACTGAATGAGAGGGGTAGGAAGTCTCATCTGGAACGCAGCCCTTCCCCGGTTTGAAATCCTGAGCTGTCCAAGAGCCCCGGGAAAGCACCAATCTCCCATTTGTATTCGTGTACCTTTCTTTTCCCAGCCAAATCCCCCCTGAGGAATGTTAGAGCATTATCTTTCTAGGGCAGTTTATCCAGCATCTGACTTAAGCATGCCATTTGGGCAGGCACATCTCCAGTGCTGGGTATTTGCAGTGCTTACCTGTGTAGCGTGCTTATAGAAATGTCCCCTGGGTGGTCCCTTTTTTTTGTTTTTATATAGCATTTTGAAATTTTGGACATTCTTTTTCTTTCCCGGGAATCTTAACTTTGTTGATTCTTTTTTCCCATGTGCTCTGAAATGCTGGTTTTAGTGTTTTCTTTGGTATTAAGTTTAATATTATTTTCTCTTTGTGACCATTTCTACCTAGTCTGATGTCACTTTCTCAGCTATTTCACCCTTGCTGCCATCTCTCTCTCTCTCTTCTCTGCTGTGCGTGTTTCTTGCTGATGGAACACTCAGATATTCTTTCATGTTCTTCTGACTTGCATCAAGGGACCCCGGAGGTCAACCCATTGAGTCAGATGCCTGATAGTCAAGTTTCAGATTTTAGAGTCAGATCTTTGTTCCAATCCTACCTCTGCCTCTCGGTAGCTGTGTGGCCAACCATTCTCAGCCCCAGCCATCTCATCGGTAAAATTGGCATGAGAACCTATGCCATACACCGTAGTGGTGAGAATTCACTGTTGGCTGTTCAGTAACTTACAAAGCCCCACCTAGATGCGCTGTGACCATCCATTCTACAGTTCTGTTATGATCTTGCTTTTATAAAATCATTTTCCTATTATAGACAGTTTACAAAATGGATAGCTCCATATAACTTAGCTAAATTTATTTTATAACTGCAATTATAAATCATAATTTAATTTCCAAAACTTTGCACATAAATAAAGTCACAAGTCAGAGACTGACACTCTTTTCTGAGACTGCACATCTCAGGGATGGGTTAAGAATGGATGGACCAATGCCCTCTTTGCTGTTGGCTCCATCGTAGATATTCGTGGCCAAAGAGGCGGTAAAGATGTAACCTGTACTCCTGTGCTTTAGCTGTTGTATGTTCCCATGACCACAGGTCGGGCTCTGCAAGCACAGAGTGTTTCTCCTTTCCTTTTCTTAAGCTTGGAATGAAAGAAAAGAGTCTTAATGATGATTTTTAACTTATGTGACATGCCCTTCACTGCTAAGAATCTGTTTGTCTTACTAACCTGGGCACAAAAGCATCCGCTTCTGCTCTTCTTTCTGGCTATGCCTCGTGAACAAACCGGGATTTTATGTAGCTCAGCAAATGGGCTTTTTTAGGATCAGTGGAATCAGACACACTCACGTCTTTGTCACTTTAGTGCCTGAAGTGCTAAAACTGTACATTATTCACAAACTCCAAGTGAGAGCGAGGAAGAGTGTGTCTTGGCACCAGAGAGGACAGTAAAGCTCTCAGAAGACCCAGAAAGTTATCACTTGGGCATTATTTCAAGTGTATCCTAAGTGGTGGGATTTGCTTCTTTCTGTAAGTAAACCTGTCCATCTGATTTTAACCAGGAAAGAAGGATTTTATGACACGGATACATACAGGTGTTCTTTTCACACTGCCATCTGTGAAGGGTGATGAGCTGTCCTTTCTTGGAATGCTTTCTCCACGACTTCTAGCATTTTTATTTCAAGTTTCATATCACATAGAAATACCCGTGTTAAAATTGAGAATGTCCCTGGTGGCTTGGAATGCTTTCTCCACGACTTCTAGCATTTTTATTTCAAGTTTCATATCACATAGAAATACCCGTGTTAAAATTGAGAATGGGGATTCCCTGGTGGCGCAGTGGTTGAGAGTCCGCCTGCCGATGCAGGGGACACGGGTTTGTGCCCCGGTCTGGGAAGATCCCACGTGCCGTGGAGAGGCTGGGCCCATGAGCCATGGCCGCTGAGCCTGCACGTCTGGAGCCTGTGCTCCGCAACGGGAGAGGCCACAACAGTGAGAGGCCCATGTACCGCAAAAAAAAAATTGAGAATGTGTTTTTTGAGATGGCTGGAATGATATGCCATAGACCCTAGAAACAAGAAAAATGTGTTGAGTCAGACTCCTCTCCCTTTGGGGAGTTTACCCAAGAGAGTCTTACGTGTGCTCTAGGTTGGGGGTGGCAGAAGGTAGGGGAGACAGATTGACCTGGTTTGTCTTCTGATTAGGAGCCAGTTTGTAATTTTGTTATAAAGGGACTGGAGCTGTCCAGTGCCTTGTGTCTGAGTCTTAGAGGCCATGGTGGCTGCTTATTGAGAAATGGGCTGTTCCTTTGTTTTGGTCTCCGGGGAGATTTGTGGATGGTCCACTGGTCAGGGCAGTCGGACCTGACTTCGGCCTTGCTGGTCCCAGGATTTCTTTCCTGTAGAGCTAAGAGCAAACCAGGACCAGCACTGGCGAGAGGGCAGGGCTGGCCGGGGTACTGGTATGGCAGTGCTTTCCCAGCAGCTCAAGTCCCAGTTAACAGGAGAGGCGGGCAGAGCATGCTTTGTGCTTCATTGTGCGTGTGTCTGAAGCAGAAACTAGTCTTGAGAGCTTAACCAGAATCCATGAAATGGTAAACAAACCTGCTGTTGAAAGAAAGAATGAGAAGTTGACAGTTGCATTATTGTGATCCTGAGTGGGTTCATCGGCTAGGCTAGGGTCGAGGAATAAGGAAAAAGGAGATAAAAAGAATCGGGCGAAATGAATTCAGTTGTGTTAATGTCTTTCTTCCTTTGTCTTCGGTTTACACCTGGTAATGAACCCATGGAGGCTCGGAGATATTGTTCGAGTTTCCTTTTGTTTTATGTGTGTGTGTGTGTGTAATGAACCCATGGAGGCTCAGAGATATTGTTCGAGTTTCCTTTTGTTTTATTTGTGTGTGTGTGTGTGTGTGTGTGTGTGTGTGTGTGTGTGTGGCAGGTTTGTTTACAATTTCCAAAGGGGCTTTTTTCCTCCATCCTGAGGAATATGAATTGAGGAGGGGAGGAGGAAACAAGAAGGGGAGGAATTTTAGTATTTTGAAGACAAGAGGTGACCCCACAATAAGGGAACTGCTCTGAGGCCGATGGGATGGATGGTACCAGTCTCATCAAATATGGGTTTTACAGAGCCCCCGCGTGTCCTGCCTGGGGAAATCACACTTTGGGAAATTAGGTGTCCATCAAATCAGGAGGAGGCTGGTACAGTTTCTGTCCCATTTCCCCCCTGCTTTTTGAAAGGCTTAAGAAAAGAGTCCTTTGTTTTCTTTTCAAGGAAAGTTACACTGAAATTCATCTGTGTGGGATTCAGACTCCATTTTTGTCATTCATGGGCAGCCCGTAGGTTATATAGGACAATGGTGGTGATAACGTTAGTGAATTCCTGACCTCAACATTCAGAGCTGCGTGTTGGGAAAAGCTTCAAGACCTTTTTTTCTTTTCACTTGCTCTCTCTTTTTTAAAATAGATTATTATTTAAGGAAGAAACTGAGATTTTCCCACCTCCCGTCTACAGTAGATTTCCCCACCACATGACATTGGAGCGTCACAGGCTTAGGATTTGTGCCTGTCACTTCCAGCATTTTCCTCCGAATTGCAAACTTTCAAATACCTTTCAGGGAAACTTGTTTGGAATTTCATTTTAATGGGATTTATGAATAAATCTCCATCTTAATGCTGACTAAGCTTTAAACATCCATTCCTGGAGAACACTATTGGATTTTTATATTTTAAAATTTAAATCACTTGACAGTGAAGGCATAAAACACTTTTATATTTGTGAGTGCCATGTGCTTGAGCATTTTCTGTTACAGACTTTTTTTCTCCCCCGGTTGGCTTGAATAATTCTGGGCTGCAAAGGAGGAGATACTGCATCTTCGACTTTCCTTTCTCGTGTGGATGCCTGTGTACATTGTGCGGGTTTATTTATCTCACCTACAAGGATGGGTATTCTGTGGCAGCCTGTTGCCACGCTGCAGTTTCCTTTAAAAGAAGTTTACTTTCTTCCTTCACTTTGAAACCTTTAACCTCAGAATTTTATTTTTAAATGCTGTGAACCCTCAAAGTCAGATTAAAAGAAGTGATGCTTCCTCCCTACCTGCCTTTCCCCAGAGATGCGTTGTAGAATGTAAATGAAGATGAAAGCTGGGATCATAGTCAACCCCTTTTTAAAAAAATACTCAAAACTAGGGCTTCCCTGGTGGCGCAGTGGTTGGGAGTCCGCCTGCCGATGCAGGGGACGCGGGTTCGTGCCCCGGTCCGGGAAGATCCCACGTGCTGCGGAGCGGCTGGGCCCGTGGGCCATGGCCGCTGAGCCTGCGCGTCCGGAGCCTGTGCTCCGCAACGGGAGAGGCCACAGCAGTGAGAGGCCTGCGTACCGCCAAAAAAAAAAAAAAACCCCAAAACAAAAAAGAAACCCTCAGAACTAATGTTGGGGGTTTTCAAGTGTCAAACCTCCACTGTGTTCTTTGTGTCTGGTGTCATCTTCCCCCGTCTGTCCACAGACTCATCCTACTCCGAGCCTCCGGACGTTCAGCAGCAGTTGAACCACTATCAATCCGCTGCTCTGGCGAGAAACAACAGCCGTGTTAGCCCCGTGCCTCTTTCTGGAGCTGCGGGGGGCACTGAGCAGAAGACGGAAGCTGTTCTTCACTGCGAATTCTGTGAATTCTCCTCTGGCTACATCCAGAGCATCAGGCGCCATTACAGGGACAAGCACGGTGGGAAGAAGCTCTTCAAGTGCAAAGACTGCTCCTTTTACACAGGCTTTAAGTAAGTGGCATGAAGAACAGCCTCGAAAAACAAGGCGGCTGCACCCGCTTCACCCCTCAGCCTGCTCTCCCCTTTCACTATCCCATCTGGAGGTCATGGGAGGCCCTGCCTGTGGGATGAAGGAAGGGGTTGTTGGGCCCAGTCTTCACAAGAGGAGGCCAGTTCCAGAAGACTGTTTTGGGGGTTTAGGGAAGAGATGAAGAGCTATATCAGAACAAATGAGTTTAAAAATCAGAGCAGATGGGTGCCCAAGGAGTGTGAGATCATGGCAAAGGATTTCCCTGACCCAGTATGTGAAACAGTGAGTGTTTTCCCTTTGGAAAACCACACCCTCACCCTCACCTTTTATTTTATTTGTCTTTGGGGGGCAAAAAAATATCTTCTCGGAAGCAAAGTCAAAGTCAAGAGAGAACATCGGCAGTCGTGACGCCCCTGCTACCCTTGTAGAGATTTCTTATTTCTTAAGATCATATTACTGAAAGACACCCAGAGAACCAAGACTCCACACTGGGAAGACTAAACTTGGACAATCACAGAGAGATTGTTCCCATCTAGAAAAAAGATAATCCAGAGTCACCTTTGTTCCTGTGTATGAGAAAGATTGGAATGCTTCCTATCATTTAATCTAAACTCCTGTGATTTCATCTCACCCTGGGAGATACTGTTTAGGTTCATGGTTACGAGTGTAGAATATGGAGCCTGACTACCTTGGTTTGAACTCCAGCTTTGCCACTTACTGGCTGTGTGACTTTGGACAAGTTACTAAGCCTCTCTGTGTCTCTGGTTCCTTATCTGTTTAAAAAAAAAAAAAGACAATGATAGTACCTACCTCTTAGGGCGCTTGTGAGGAGTAAAAGAACCGTCAATGAAGCCGTAAAGTGCTTAGCATAGTGCTTGGAACAAAGGAAACACTAATAAGTGTTATTGTATCATATATAGAAAGCTTTTATAATAATATGAAATGCTATAGTACAGATATAAAGCTATTATCTGCTTCTGCTGCCGTCAGGGCCTGGGCTTTAGGTCACTCCAGTATTTCAATACACACTCCACACAGAGAGGCTGGTGAGTAGACTTCATGCCCCCCCAAAAAACATGAACTGATAGAAAAACAAGTCTCTTTTCCACCAACATCTTAGTTGCTGGGATTTAATGGAAAATGTGTTACATCTCTGACTATTAATGTGGTTCGGTTGTTTTTTAGATAAATATGTATGTGACCTTAGAAGTGAGAGAAGGCAAAAAGGACCCAGATAACAAGGGCCCACTGACAGGTGTACATGTTTCCCCAGAGAGAGGCACTCGGGTTAATAAGAAGGGGACCTTGCCTGTTAAACTCTTGGTTTCATCCATTTTTATGAGACATTTAAGGCTTTGTAAATTTTGAAGTTTTGAAACGGATGGAGTGGGGAGGCAGTGATACCCTCCGCCTTGGAGCTGGTACAACAGCTCTGAGTTTCCTTTACGTGGTCATCAACCGTCCTGACTTCCTAACCAGCCTGCCCTCCCCTGTTACCTGGGAAGAGTCACCGAGGCAGCTGATAAATCTTCCAGCTTCAAAACAGTCCCTCTTCTTCTGAGCTTGATGAGAAATATATTCTCGTAGGGATTTTGTTTTATATTTTTAACAGGCAACTTCTAATTCTCAAGAATAAAATTAGGAGTCTGTTTCTTTCTTCTCAAACTCAGCCCTGCCTGAGCTCAGCCAGGTAGCAAAATTTCCAAAACGAAGTTACCACTGCATGACAGTGCTTAGTTATTGCACGAGAGACCAGGGCACTTGTGGTCAGCAAACATGATGAACCACTGTAGTTTTGGCCCCCGGGTGGAGTGTCTCTGTAGTAGGGTTGCTGGCAGGGGGTGCGAGTGAGATGCTCCTTGGTTACACTCATCGCCTCTCTCCCCACCTCCCTCCCAGATCTGCTTTTACTATGCACGTGGAAGCCGGGCATTCGGCGGTCCCCGAGGAGGGCCCCAAAGATCTTCGTTGTCCTCTCTGCCTCTATCACACCAAATACAAACGCAACATGATTGACCACATCGTGCTGCACCGAGGTAACCTTCCAAGCTCGGTTTTCTTGTGCGGGGCGGGGGAAGGCGGCTCGGGTGGCGTTAGAGGGAAGCCGTCTCAAGGTGGAAGCGGCACCTTTGCCTGGTCCCTTGCTCCCCACCGTATCTCCCCTCAAGAAATCACAGCGATCACCCTAGTGACAGCCAACAGGGTAAAAACATCTTCCCCCTGAGAGGATTTCCTTCACGTGGAGGGAGGCAAAGGTGATGGATTCTGCAGTGAACAGTTCTGCGGGGCTTCCCCCTGAGAGGGAGTTTTATATCCTGAGTCCTCCGCTCTCACGGCCTTGCTAAGAAGGAGTGAATGAGAAGCAGAGTGGGTGGGTGAGGGCAAGGAGCTCTGTGGCTGTAAGCAGTTCTTTGGACGAACACCAAAATGATGATTTCCGAAGCAGAACGCGGAATTTCCCTTGAACTGGATGGAGAGAGAAAATTCTTAAAACTGAAAGTGGCCTGATGTATGTTAGAAACCCCATAGGCTTTGGGTTTAAATTCTAGATTTAAAGCCTCCTGTGTTTAACCTCCCTGTCCTCCGTAGAAAGAGGTGACGAGTTATGCCTCTGAGGTGACGTATTGAGTGTCTAGTGTGTTCCATGTGGGTGCATCCTGGGTGTTCCGTAACCGTCGGCTTCTCTGCTAAGCTGGGGTACGTCTTTTAGGTCCTCTTTGTTTTTTCTTTGAGTGGAGTTTACTGCTGGCCAATTCAAACAGTTAAACAACAGGCCCCGTCTGCACTGGAAGGAAAAATATGTTTATGTAAAACCTACTTTATCCGGAAGAGATTCAAGCCAGAGGCGGATGGAAAAAGATGGCTAGAGTACCCGTTGCCAGTCTCTCTTGCTCTTTCCACCTACTGACCTTTCCATCTCTCCTTCCTTCCTCCCTGCCTCCCTCCCTCCCTCCTTTTCTTCCTCTTCCTGCCTCTCTTCCTTCCTTTACCTCTAACCTGGGAAAGCTTTTAGGTATTTGCCGAAAATACCGAAAAAAGACTCGAAGGCAACAAGTGTCTTCTGCTGCCCTGCTGAGATGTTACTCTGAAATGCTGGACATCGCAGGGGGCGGGGGCAGGGGGCATTTTCAAAGTTTCCAGCATTTCCCCAGAGCCGCTGCCTTTGGCTGGCACGTTTCGTGACATGTCACCCACGTCTGCTGCAAACTCCGTGGAAGACTTAACCTTCAGCACCCTCAGGTCCCCGTCCTCCCCAGGCAGGTTCATGAGACGTGACACGCCTGCTGGCGAGGACGTCCGCCTGCAAGCTAGGGAAAGCCACGCAGGAGCGTTTAGGCAGGAATTCCTGGCCCGACTGCCCCCGCCTGGTGTGCCACCTCAGCCACCTGGCTTCCGGTCCCCCGGGCCATGTGTGTGTCACTGGCTCTGTGCCCGCACTGCTTGGGGCGAGGCCGGGAGCCGTGCTGCTGTAGAACAGACAGCATCGGTGAGACCCCACTTTGGCGGTGGATTCTCTCTCTTTTCCATGTTGCTGCCTGGTGGGATCAGAGCCTTGATGCCTAATGCGCTTGATGACTTTCCTTCCCTGAGCTGAGAATTCAAGAAACGGAGGCAGAGAGAGAGAGAAACGCTTAATGCCTGGAGCATGCCACACCTGACGTGGTGCTTCTCACACACGCTTACTTCATTGTCCAGCCACACTGGGAGGGACAGTACTGTGACCCGTAGTCCTGTTTTATGTACGTGAAGCTTGAAGCTGGAAAAAACTTTTTCTTTGATTTCGTGTAGTTATTTACGATCATTTCACAAAGGATTTAAGGTATCTTAAAAATAGTCGTGCAGAACTGTAGGATTAAAAACAAATGAGAAGGGCTTCCCTGGTGGCTCAGTGGTTGAGAGTCCGCCTGCCGATGCAGGGGACGCGGGTTTGTGCCCTGGTCCGGGGGATCCCACGTGCCGCGGAGCGGCTGGGCCCGTGAGCCACGGCCGCTGAGCCTGCGCGTCCGGAGCCTGTGCTCCGCAACGGGAGAGGCCACAACAGTGAGAGGCCCGTGTACTGCAAAAACAAACAAAAAAACAAATGAGAAGATTGGGGCAAATGCAGAATAAGGAGAAGGCAGTTGAAAGTCACGTCAAGTATGAAAAAGCTCACCTAGAGTTTGGGTACTCGGTGTCCGCCATGAGGTGCGGTGCGTTTGTTAGCAGTGGGCTGCAGTCGTGGCCCTGGGACTGCGGCCCACGGTAGGAGAGACAAAAACGGAATCAAACTGGATTTAGAGTGTTTGTTAGACTCTTGAAATTTTGTTCAGGAATCTGAGATGCTGGAACCTGAAAGGAGTTTCTCCGCTGGGTTCTCCTGAGGGGACTGTGTAGGATGTAGTGCATACTGTCCCCACCCTGAATCCAGTGCTGAGTCCCCTGGGCCCACGAGGGCTGAGTAGTTTAACCAAAGTCATCCAACCGGTGAGCAGGGAAACTGTGTGTCAACGCAGCCCTCTGACCCCATGACCCATCCATCATATTGCCTGTCACTGGTTACTTACAGTCTCTTCTCTTTATTTATAGAGATGATTTATTTTAAAAGAGGCATCAGAGTATATAGATATTGTCCTCATTGGGGTCAGAAAGTACACAACCTGGAATGAACATGAGCATTTGAGGGTTGGTGGTAATAATAACATCCCTGGCAACAGCAATGGTTACTATTACTGAGAGCTTATTAGGTACCAGGTGCTGTGCTAAGTGCTTTCCAGTGAGTCATTTTATGGAATTTTCACAAAACCCTAAGTGGTAGGTATTACTGTTATCCCTGACAACAACAGAAAAAACAGGTTCAGAAAGACTAAGCATCTTACCTAAGGTCAAATGACTAATAAGCAACCCAGCTGGGATCTGAACCCAGGCTTGTCTGACCCCCCCCACCCCCCGCCCATGCCTTTACCCACCAGGTGTCACTGTCTCATCCTTGGGGAGGTGGTTGGTGTCACTCTGTTGAGCATTCTAGTGGCTGTGGCATTTGGGTCTGAGGATGGCGTGGTCTGGAGGCTGCAGGTCAGAGACAAGGACCACTGAGCCGCAGGGGGGCAGGGTGCTTCGGGACAGCGTATCTGCCATCTGCATCCTGGCCTGGCTTTGGTGGCCATCCCAACTCAAAATGGCAGCTCAGTGGGAAGTGGGTCTCGACAAGTCAAGAGACAGGGTTGGGTGTCTGCCTGGCAATTTCGAGTTGGGGCTGATCTCAAAGTAACCAGATGTGGCTCTTTCTCCACCTGTGCTTTCCTTACTCTGTGGATGAATAAACATCTTTGGTCTCTAGAGCCTGCAGTACGAGATCTTTCTGAGACCTTAGTTAATTAAAATACGTGGAATGAAAGGCAAGAAAAGCAACTTCTGAACTGGCCCTGAGACTGAGCTGCTGTTTGCAAGACTGGAGTCTCCTTAGCTTTTTGTTCAGACAAATTGCTGTATTTACAT